TTAAATTTTATAAAGTAATGATAAGAGTATTTTAATAATTTAATGTAGTTAATTTTATAATATATTAAATTTAATACATAATTTAATATGGATATTAGAATAATTTTAAAACAAAATGTCATATATCAACTTCTTATAAAACACTCATAAAGATATTTAGGTAATTATGATATAAGAAGCATTATAGTAATTTTGAAAAAAGATATTTTCATAAGTATGGTACGAAGGATACTATAATAATTTTGATCAAATATAGTAAAAAAGGTTTTTTTTTAATTTTATTAATTTTGGTTAATTATAGTAGGAAAGATATATCTATAATTATGGTAGGAAGATATATAATGTTTTTGGCTAATTATGAAAAGAGTCATATTTTCCTAATTATAACTGGAAGGCATTATAGTAAAATTGGATACATGTTAAAATCATATTAAATATATGAAAAGGTGTTATAGTAATTTCAATGGGAATTATTTCAGTATATATTATTTAACATTTAATAAGTAATTTAATTAGACTATTATAGTGAATTTCAAACAAAATTTCACATGTCAAATTTTTATGAAGTAACGACAACGGTATTTTGATAATTTAGTATGTAGTTAATTTTATATGATGTTAAAATTTCATATGTAATTTAATAGTGGTATTATAGTAATTTTTAAATAAAATATCACATGTCAAATTTTCATAAACCAATTGTAATGATATTTTAATAATTTAATATGTGGTTAATTTTATATTATGTTAAAAATTAATATATAATTTAATAAAAGTATTATAGTAATTTTGAAACAAAATGTTACATGTTAACTTCTTATGAAGTACTCATAAAAGCATTTCAATATAAGATGCATTATAGTAATATGGTAGAGGTATTTTTGTAATTTTTATAGGATAGATTTTTCTATAATTTTAGTCAATTACACTATGAGGGGTATTTTGTAATTATTGAAGAGGGTATTATAATAATTTTAATTAATTATAAGAAGATAAGTATTTTGTAATTATGGTAAAAAAATATTGTAGTAAATTTGAACACATATCGATATCATATCAAATAAACAAAGAGTTATTATAGTAACTATCAAAGAATTGTTTTAATATATGTTATTAATTTTGAAACAAAGTATCACATGTCAACTTTTTATGAAGTACTCATAAAAGCATTTTCATATGAGATGCATTATAGTAAATTTTTGCCAATTATGGTAAGGGTATTTTTATAATTTTTGGAGGAAAGATATTTTTGTAATTTAGTCAATTATACTTTGAGGGATATTTTGTAATTATTGTAAGAGGAAATATATAAATATTTTTTTATTTTGGAATAATTTGTAATCCTATAAAAGAAAATAATTGCATTTTGCAATCAAAATGATATTTTCAACGATCAATGCTTATTTGGCTCATTTTATAAACTAATATTAATTTCCGAATGACAACAAATATTAAGTAATTTTAAATAAAAATAAAACCTCTATTAAAGGGCAAGAAATGAGAAATTGATAAATAAAAGGAAAAAAAAAAGAAAAAAGCACATTCTTAACTATTTCATATTACTGCAATATGATGGAAACTCTTTCAAAGATTCTGATATATTCTTAATTATTGACTTATTGTGATGTATTTCATTTAAAATTCAAATTCTTACTAATACTACTTGAATAATAGCTTGGAAAAGATATTAGCAATAAATTGGAGAAGATGGAGAATAGAGAATTAAATATTTGTATACAAACATAAAATCAACAAGTTCCTTCAAAACAAAACGAATACCAAAAACAGAGTTTCAACAGAGACAAAAAGCTCCGTTGAAAGTGCAAAATCATCAAAGGACTCTTTCTAAGCAATATGAGTAACCAAATCCACAACTCGTCCTACAACCATCTTAGAAGAACAGTGTGCTAAAAGAAATCCCTCATTTAAAAGATCAAATCACCAAACTTCTTTTGATAACAAAAATCAACTTCATCCAAATCTTCACCACATTCAAACAAAAGGCAAATCATAAGAGCTCCCATGACACCTAAGCACCTCTTTTGAAGATGTATAACTCAAGAAAATTGCCTACAACTGAGTAGCGACAAGTAGTGATGCAACTCTCGATGAAAGAAAACCATACTTGTCGCCAATATGGATTTATGTATAGAACAACAAAAATTCCCAATAAAACAATTACATATGAAACCAGAAAGCTCACACAAAAAACATATATGTCCATGAAACTACCTTCTCCTTCATTGTCTATTGTAGTCGGTACTGTTGGTGGTGACTCAGTTTTTGGGCAGTTATTTTGCAATGGAGGCCCACAGAGAAGAGGGTTTCCTTCGTAACTTCTTTCATTAAAGGTCCCAAACTGAGCTTTTGGTTCTGGAGTACTACCTGACAAGTTGTTATGTGCCACGCTGAAAACCTCTAGAAAGTTCAACTCAACCAACTGTATAGGGATTCTACCACTCAAGTTATTGTAAGAAAGGTCCAAACTCTCAATTTGCTTAAGTTGTGAAAATGATGAAGGTATAACTCCGACCAAGTTATTGTGAGATAAGTTTAACGAATGGATTTCACTTAAATTTCCCATTTCGAGTGGGATTTGCCCAGTTAACCTGTTACAAGATAAATCAATCCCAGACATGTACTCAAGAATGTCACCACCATATGAATAGGACACACTCTTTGTTGTAAACTCTATCCATTCTTCCATGTAACTACTAGGATAATCATGTGATAAATCAAATGGAACGTCTATTGGTAGATCATTCATTGAACTTGATCCATTCCAAACAAGATATACAGAAGACTTCTCCCCTTTCATTGCCAGAGTTAAATTACCCAAACAAGAAGGTACAGGACCAGAAAACATATTTCCAGAAAGATCTATGATGCTCAATGAATACAACTTGCATAATTGAACTGGAATTCCACCATCTAGATGATTATCTTTCAAAAGAAGGACGCTTAAAGAAGAAAATGTGCCAATCCATTTTGGAATATTACCGGTCAAATTATTCCCTCTAAGATCTAATGTCACTAATGAAGAGCTATTAAAAGTAAGTGTCAATGGACCACTTAGTCTGTTTCTCTTCACGTGAACATGTCTCAAATATGGTGGATTGAAACAATAAGGAATAGAGCCAGATAAATTGTTTTGAGAAAGCTCAAAAAATTCAAGCTCAAACAAGTTGCAAAATTCCATTGGAATAGAACCTTCAAAATGATTGTTTGACAAAGCCAATCTCTTCAAATGCGATATATTCCCTATCCATCTTGGGAGCTTTCCATTAAAACTATTATTACTGAGATCAATATCCTCTAGTGATGAATGTGAAAAATCAGTAGTAGAGACATCAATATCAGGAATCTCTCCAGCAAAATTATTGCCATCCAAATACAAATTTGACAACTTTCTTGTGTTGAACATCAAAGGAACAATCTTTCCACTTAGGTTGTTATTTGATAGCCTAAGAACATCTAATGAGCTTCTCATGATCAACTCTTCTGGTACTCTTCCAAACAAATGATTGCCCGATAGGTCTAAAAATGATAAAGTGTTCATGCCACTTAAACAAGGAGGGATATTACCTTCAAAGGCATTCTTAGATAAGAATAACAATTCCAAATTTGGAAAAGTTGAACATATATTTGTCGAAATTTGACCTTGTAATTTGTTTTCAGATATGTCAATTAAAGACACATTAGGATGAAAAAGATGTGGTAACAAGAGAGGACCAGTGAAAGAATTACCCAACAAGAAGAGATTTTCTAATTTTGTGTTGTTTTCTAGCAACCATAACGGGACTGTTCCACTGAAATTGTTATGGGAAAGATCAACATATCTCAAGTCATATTGGTAATAAAGGAACTTAGGAGGTTGTAGACTAAGTCCTTTGTCTGTTATACACTCTGACAAACTGATGATGTTTAGTTGGAACTTCGGAATTGAAGTATGAAAGGAATTAGGTTCCATTACTATCTTGTTTTCATCAGCCAAAAGAAACTTGAGATTTGGAAGGTTTGCAAGTGACAAGAATGGCATTGAAATTTGCAAACGATTTCTTAAAAGGGAGACAAATCTAAGTGATGAAAGATTTGCTAAAGGAGTCAAATTTCCAATAAATTGATTGTAGGAGATATCTAAGTCAAGAAGAGATGTCAAGTTACCCAAACAATAAGGAAGTATCCCCTCAAGTGCATTCCCACTGATATCCAAACTCTTAAGGTTCCTTAGATCACACCAACCTGAAAATTTTATAAATTCATGGAAGAAATTTTAATTAAATTTTGATTCCCAAAACAGAATATATATATATATAAGATATTAGATGAAAGAAAAAGAATAAAGGATTATTGGAAAGAGGTGTATTCCATGAGTTATATTGGAGAATAATAGTCTTTAATTTACCTTGATTAGGTAAGGAACCCATAAGTCCACAGTTACGTAAAGACAAAGTTTTAAGAGAAGTGAATACTCCAATGCTTTGGAAAATGTTGTTGTTGAGATAAGAACCGTCTAGAAATATTTCCTCCACATTGCTCCACACATGCAATTCTGAGTAATCATAGAATAGGATGGTATTATTAGATGTTAATCAACAAACAACTACTAATTTACGTTCTTTTGGAATAAATTAATGACTTACCTTGATCTTGAGTAGCCATAGTCTTGTTTAAGTAGTTCCCTTGTAGATAGAAGGTCTTAACTGATGGGAATGCATATACTAATTTTAGTAGTTGTGGAATGCTTCCATTGGTGAAAACCACATTTAGACGAAGAACTTTTAACTTTTTCAAACTCTTATACTCTGTAAATGAAAAAAATAAATAAGTGAAAATTTTCATTTTTGTAGATAAGATTATATATTCAAGATTAATGCATGATGAATTTTTAATAGAGACGAATATTGAATCGTTAAATATTTTTAATATAAATTTTAATATACGAAACAATCAAAAAGATGAAAATCAAACAAAACGGTAACATGAAAAGGCAAAATTTTTTAAACGGTAATATGAATACGTAGTAATCTAAAACAGAATGACAAAAGGTAATCTAAGACACAACAAGCTAACACAAACAAAAAGGGAAATATTAGATATGTCATTGCAACACTTCTTAAAGAAAGCAATTATCTAAGGCAAATATATATCATTTTCTAATTAGTAATCAAATTACAATGAATTTCTTCCTTTAAAAAATTAGGCATTAATTTTAATAAGAGCATTTCACCTATAATCATTGTAATACGATTAAGCAATCACAATTCAAAATTGCATGAGGTCTAACAAAATTTTATGTGAAGTTCACACTTATAAATGATGGATTCTTACGTAATTCTTTATTTGAATTAGAGAATTGTAGTATTGTAGTAAAAAGCATATAATAATAATTAATTTCTTCCTTTAAAAAATTGAGTATTAAATTTTAATATGCTAAATTTGTTGATCATTAAAACATCTACATCATTATAAACCTCACAAATAAAAATAGAAAATTTATTTAAATCCATACCTTTACAGGCCACAAATTCATTCAGATCATTAAAGCTCATATCCAATACCTCTAAGTTGGTAAAAGCACCCAAGTCTGGAAAAAAAAGTAATAAATAAACGTCATTAAATCATCTGAAAACATGAAATTTGTTTTTTTTTTTTTAAGTATTTATAATAGAGTTGAAATTTTGGTTGAAAAGTAATAATTAATTAGATTATGACTTAAATCAAGCATTTAGAAATTGGTCAATTTTAACGGTCTCCCAGCATCTATAAATAATTTACGTAATTTCATCATTAAAGAAAAAAACATATGAACTTATTTGTTATATCATTTTGAAACATGAACTTATTTGTTATATCATTTTGAAACATGAGTTAAGATTTTTGTTAACAAATTCAAAATTTTTGCAAAAAAAGTAATTTTACCTTTCATATCTGTTGATCCATTTAACTGATTGGAGCTTACATCCAAAGACTTCAAATTTGAAAGCCCGCTAAGCGATGCAAATATGTTGTCATTAATGAGATTATCACTCAAATCAAATTCTTCTAAATGGGTCAAGTTCAGCTGTCTCCCACTATCTACATAAGGTTTACATAATTTCATCACTAAAAAAAAGATTTACATAATATTTAATTATATATAACAACTTAACTAATTGAGCAAATATAAATGCATACCTTGTAAGGAATGAAGGCTTTCAATTTTGTTGGAGTATAAATACAACCTCTTCAGATTCATCAAATTATTCAATTCTATGTCCAAGTTTAATTCAAATAATCATTATGTTAGCCCGGTTACTCAAATAATCTTTTACTCAATATTTTTAATGACTCTATAATGAAGTAAACGGAAAAACAAATCTAAAGCTTTAAGTGAAGAGGAAAAATCCCCAAATGTGATATGAGATTTTACCTATTTTATGAGCAAAAAAGGTTCTAAAACAGAATTAAAAAAAAGAAGAAGCTGTAATAGCTTTACCTTCAATATCTATTGAGCCTTGCAATTGGTTGTCCCCCATATTCAGGGACTCTAGACTTGGAAGGCCAGAAAGGAATGCAAAAGTGTCGTTCTTGAAGAGATTGCTACTTAAATCAAGAACCTCCAAATTGGTCATCCTTAGTTGCATCTCCTTTCCTGTAGAAGAATATTTCTATTATATGCCATTGTTAATCGGAAATTTTATGCATTGACCACGTAAATAAGAACTTAATTAAGTGAATTGAAATATATATTTATACCTTGCTTTGATGGTTGAAAGCTTTCAATTCTATTGCTACTTAAATCCAAGTTCTTCAAATTTGTCAAATTATTCAATCCTATTCAATGCCAATGAATAATTAATAGTTCATATTAAAGCAAATGATATGCAACACCTTTTTCTAAAACAACAATTGATTTGAACGTAAAAGAAAGATAAAGCAAGTTTATCATGAATATGAGTGGTTCCTTCCAAGTGATTTGTACTCAAACTTAAAATCCTTAAAGATGAAAGACCATTCATATGAAACAATATGTTATTTTTCAAAGAATTGTCCCCTAAATCAAGAGTTTTCAAATTACTAAGTCTTGAAAGCCATTGAAAACCTGTATCGAAAAAAGATTAGTATTTTAATTAATGTATATAATTCATAATCATAATTAGATTGGTTTTAACTCTAACGTTTGCATAAGTTGATCCTGTGAACAAGTTTCCTGCTAGATATAAATCCTTGAGAGATGAAAGCTGACTCAAAGATAATAAAATTGTATCATTGAGGTAATTGTAACTTAATAAAGGATCTCCAAATTTAGCTTTGCAAAACCTGCAAGAGAGTTCTTTTAAATATATAATAAGGACTTAGTGGCTTTTCATCAATAAAACAAAAATAGAATTAAATATGAAATTGTAAAAATGAAGAACTGATGAATGAATTTTCATATTGCAAATTAACAATGAAATAATTGAAGATGAAAAGGCAAAAGCGACCTTCACTTTCAACAAAACCAGCGATGTTATTCCCTGGCAAATAAAGATGCTTCAGTTCCTTGAAAGGAAGAAACAAAGAGGCATTAAGATACCATCTTTCGTTTTTGGACCATCTTATATAATTAAGAAAGAGTCCTATGACTCGCTTGGAAGAGGAGGAGGAGGTGTTGCACTCGACCCTATCCCATTGACAGCAATCTGAACCCTTGATCTCATCAACCCAGCTGTTCAGATCGTTCTGAGGATTGAAGAAAGGTTTGAGTTGCAAGAGAGCAATCCTCTCTTCCTCCCAACAGGCATCAGTACTATACCATCTGCATCCTTCTAACAACAACAACAACACACTCAACAACAACCATTTGGGTTCCATCATCTCTTTTTCTTTATATATGATCTTTTTATTTTCAATTCTCTCTTAACTGCTAGTTCTAAATATATAACGATAAGCCTTGCATCAAGCTTAATATATATAGACAATCAAGGTGGTCTTCGATCGTTTAGACTCCGTGTTGTAGGAAAGAAAGAAAAGGGAAAGTAAAAAAAATATTAGAACTTTTTTCCCCTCGTCCTTTCCTTCTTACCAAAAGGAGTGTTAGTCTCTTTCTTTGTCTTCGCTCATCTGTGGTAAATTCTACTATTTTTGGAATTGAAATTTGTATAAAATAGTCACTGAAATCACTCTGTCGAAAGTGGCCGACATAATTTAGAAAAAAATTTTGCAATAAGACAATGACTTTTATTTTCCTCAAATTAAAAATCATATTTAGAGCAAAATTGTCTCAATAATAAGAAAGAGGGATTGGAAGCATTAGGTTTTATGATCAAATCTCATTGTATATATATGTTGGATTTAATTTAAATTTTCTATAAATATACTATTTTTCTATTATTCAGTTGTTTTGGTTATTAGTTTTTTTTGTACCAATGATCAATCTTGATAAAAAAAGCATTCATTTCACAATCGTTCTCTTAGTTGTTATAGTTGGAGTACTTGTTAAACCCAACCACTTTCTAGGCTATTGGTCAAACGATTTAGATCCAGTCCTAAATATGATTTTTTTAAGACTTGAGTTCAACGTTGAGAATTTTATTATATTAATAAATAATATATTTTAATTAAAATTTAATTTTATAATATTAATATAAAATATTTTTAACATTTTAATAACAAATTTAATTGAAATAAGTAAATGAGTTTGGGAACATTTCACCTATAATTTTTTTATTACAATATTATAATTATTTAATTCATTTAAAAAATTATATATGGGTCCACCATTATAAGTGTGATTTTTATATAAAAATTTTAATAATCTCACATATTAAATTGTGATTAGCTACTATAATAATTGTAAATGATACATTGATTTGTTTTTTTTCATTTGTAATAAATACTTTAGGCCATAAATGTGACTTACGTGAATCGTGGATATGGGTTAAAAATTGTTTCCACGTTTTCCAATGTGACTTCCTGTGCATTTTATTTCTTCCTGAAGAACTTTTATTGATGTTCCATTTATTTCTATTTTTTTTAACGCATTCATATTTACTTTTAAATCTATGAGTCTATAACATCTAATATAGCATTGTTTGAAAGGATCTTCAAAATGGCATCAACTTAAAATTCACATTGTCTTCATATCCACGTTATTTAATTGGAATATAGACTTGGATTCTTAAAGTATATGTATGAATATAAAATGTTGTGATTTGTCTACGAGTTTTTCATTTTCTTTTCTGATTTCTTTGAAAATGATTAACAAAATAGTAGTAAACGATCAATAATATGATATTAAATTTCATAATTTTAATACTAAAAATTTACAAAAGCTATTAATAAAGGATAAAAGAAATTTATGCTTTCATATATCAATAGAATGAAGTTCCGCTTTTTATAGGATATATTTTTTTTTTAAAAATCATTTATAAAAAATAATTTTAAATTGAATAATATGGTAAATATTAATACTTAAAAAAATTGTTTTTTATTTAATTTTTAGTTTTTCAAAATAGTTACTTTAATATCAAATTGCACTTTTGGCTTTTATACATAAAAAAAATTCCAAAAAGTGAAAAAAATTAAAACATAAATAGAAAAAACTGAATAAAAAAAATAACTATTGGTCTTTTAAAAGCAAATGCAATGTCGGTTGTTGGCCAAACCTAAAAGAAAGTTGTTGAGAAATTAACTCCAACTTGCTTGACACTTCAGTCATTTCTTCCCCGTTAGTTTTACTTAAGCGTGAATAACGTTTAATTTGTTGAAAGTCTTGTGGCTTCGTTTTTACACGCAAAGGCACGCACCTTATCTCATTGCAAAATTTTTGTTAAAGTACGTCGGCAACTTGCAAAGAAATGTGATTTTAATAATAAACTAATTTATTCAAGTTTTAATTCCTGAAATTTACCATCGCATGGAGTAGGACAACAAAAGACACTAACACTCTTTAGCAAAGAAAAAGAAACCAAACAGAGTCTACGCAAGAACCCTTGACTTGCCAAGTTTTTTATGTTACTTCAAGTTAATTGTGTATATTATATTATAAAGAATATTTTTTAATTGTATTTATAATATATTTAAAAATATTAAAAGATTAGTATAAATATATTTTGAATAATTTTAGATGGAATAAATAAAATAAAATGCAGAGCCCGCCAAACTTAAGGTTCTTGATTTCAACCGTGCTCGGCTCCTCTTAGTTCATGGACACCTTTTTTTTTTTTTTTTTCTCAAATTATATATTTTTAGAGAATTAAGAATACCAATTATTTTTGCAACTCCATGAATTACTCCCTTCTTGCAAATAACACGATTAGGATGCTACTATTTCTAAAATTTATTATATTTTTGGTGTTATATTAAAAATGTTTAAAATTTAAGCATCATATTAAATATTTTATTATAATTTATAAATCATTCATAATATTAATTATTTTTATAATGTACCACCATAAACAGAATGTCGGCTATATAAAATAATGTAAATATTTTTATAATAGCTTGATATTAGACTTGTTTATGTGTCAGACCATATGCTAGTCTCAATTCAATCAAGTCTTAAAGCAAAATTTTTAAAGCTTTTAACAAGGTTTATTGCTTACTTTGTTCTCGTTAAACAATATTTGTTAATTTAATTTAAAATATATTTAAAAATAGTAAATTGTTAATATAAAAATATTTTTAATGATAAATAAAAATGAATTGCAAAGCCCACCAAACCTAAGAATTTTAGGTTTCAACCAAACTCGGCTCCTTTTAGTCCATAGACACCTTTTTTTTTTTTTTTTCAGATAATATGTTTTTAGCGAATTAAGAAAGCCAATAATTTTTGTAGCTCCACGGTTAATCATCCCTTGCAAATACCATGATTAGGATGTTACTTTATTTTTAAAATTTATAGATATTATATTGTTTTAGGTATGTTTAAAATTTAAATATCATATTAAATACTTTATTATAATTTAAAAATCGTTCATAATATTAATCATTTTTATAATTTGCTACCATAAATTAGATGTTGTCTATATAAAACATTGTAAATGCTTCTATGATATCTTGTTATTAGACTATACTTAACCATTTGTGTATTCGTATCATTTAAATACCAAAATTTATGTATTTGTATTGTGTTTTATATGAAAATTATATATCATAATTTATATCAACATAAAATAGAAAATATATTTTTTTGGTTTTTATTAAACTCATGTATAATTATTACTAAAATTTTATAATAAAACAAATATGTGCCTTTGCATGTAAACCAAGCAATAGAGTTTTGTTTTCCACAAATTAAAACTTTGTTCATACTATCAATAAAGTTTTGTCTCAATAATAAGAAAAAGGGATTGGAAGCAATAGATTTTATAATCGAATCTCATGTATGTTGGATTTAATTTAATTCTATGTTGGTTTATATTGATTTGTTTATTGATTTTTCTTTAAATATACTATTTTTTTACCAATGATCAATCTTGTTTAAAAATCATTCATTTCACTATCATTCTCTTAGTTGTTATAGTTGAAGTAGTTGTTAATTATTAAGTGTTTATAGACCCAATTACTATCTAGGCTATTGGCCAAAGACATTGATCCAATCCTAAATATGTTTTTTCTACCTAAGTAGATCTGTTCTAAAGTCAAGCTATCCTCCTAAGCCTAAAAGCTCGTCAAATTTTGAAAAAGTTTAGACAAAAAATAAAAGTATATTAAATGGGCATTGGCACATTTTTATAAGCTTGTTTAAATTTTGGGTTGGGTATTGAAAAATTAAAATCCGAATCCGATCTGACTCAAATAAAATATATATAATTGAAATATTATAATTTATATAAATATATATAAATATATAAAATTTTTTTATATATTTAAAAGAAGGATTTTCTAATTTTGTTATATAAATTAGGTTTAATGGAGGTTGCTGGTATTTACTTTTTCAATTTTGGTTGACCTTTAAAAAAATTTTTGAGGCTTAAATATTAGAGTCAAACCAAACCTAAGCAAGCATATAAACTATTAATATAAAATGACCTAACCTAGATCAGCCTATAAACACTTCTATGCTTGAGTTTCAACGTTGAGAATTTTATTTAATAAATAATAAATTTTTAATTTTTAAAATATAATATAAAAACATTTTAACATGTTTAATAACAAATTTAATAACAGGTAAATCAACTTTGGAGTATTTCACCTACAATTCTTTTTATTGTTAATTCTATAATTATTCAATTACTTAAAGAATTATGTATGGATTCTATCACTTATAAATGTGAATTTCATATAAAATTTTTATAAATTTCATATAAATTTTAATTATAACTAGTTACTATAACAATTGTAAATGATATTACTTTTTTTTTATTTTGTAATTAATACTTTAGCTCGTAGTGTGACTTTTACATGAAATCGTTGGAGTTTGGGTTAGAAAATTCTTTCCACCCTTTCCTTGTGGTTCTTCTTACATTCTATTTCTTCGTGGAAAGAAGAATTTTTATTGCAAGTTCCATTTTCTTTTTTTTTTTTTTGAAAGCATTTCATATCTATTTTTAAGTCTATGAGACGTATAACATCAAATATTGTATTGTTTGAGCAGGATCTTGACATTGGTTGTCAACATTGAAATTCACATTGCCGTGATATCCACGTTATTTAATTGGAATATATACTTGGATTCTTAAAGTATATATGAATATAAAATATTGTGATTTGCCTATGAGTTTTTCATTTTCTTCTTTATTTCTTTGTAAATGATGAATAAGATAGTAACAAACGATTAATAACATAATACCAGAAGCCATAACTGTGATTGTAAAATTTACATAAGCTATTAATAAAGGATAAAAAAATTCTTTCATATGTCACTAGAATAAAAGCCCTCGCTTTGCATGGGATTTTTTTAAAAATATATTATAAAAAATAATTTTAAATTGAATAATATGATAAATAATAATACCTAAAAATATATATTTTTTAATTTTTAGTTTTCAAAAAATACTTACTTTAATATCCAATTGCACTTTTGGCTTTTATACACAAAAAAAAAGTCCTAAAAAGTGAAAAAAAGGAAAATGGAAATAGAAAAAACTAAGTACAAAAAGTAAATATTGGTCTCTTAAAAGCAACTGCAACATTGGTTGTTGGCCAGCCCCCATACAAAGTTATTGAGAAATTAACTCCAACTTGCTTGACACTTCACATTATTTATAGTCATATCTTCACTA